AAGGCTGGAATTCTTGGAGTCGGCTTTCGGAAAGAAATTCCTGTCGTCAAGGGGTTAAAGGGAGAAAGTCACTCTTGTTTTCGGTAGTCAAGAGAATAAGTATTAGTCACAATGCCGTATTTGTGTCCAGTTTGTAAAAATTTCCTTTAAAAAATTAAGATATTTCCAATCATGAGAAACTCAAGAGAGTACAATGAGGTATGGGGCATTTTACCTTCCAAGCCCTGTTGAGTTGGTGGAGAGCAAGTTCCTTGGCCATCGTCACACAGGGCACCCTGGCCGTCTCTGGGTTGGGAACGCAGGACAGGAGGACGAGGGGACACTTCTGTGCCGTCCATCGGTCGTTCATCAAGGCGAAGAGCTCTGGCCGAGAATCAGTGGCCACTGTCATCGACAACAACAACAACAACTAACTTTCTGATCAATGATGTTGCTCGGCCAAGTGACAGATCTAGATTTGTTTAGATACAGGAATGTACAGGGACAGAGGGGGGGGTCATGGCCCTGCAGGATATATGGTATTCCTGTTCTTCAATGTACCTAGATCTGCTCATGGCTTGGCTTAGTATTCAGATTTTGTAAGATATGGGAGGGTTAGGTTGAGGTCATCTGTAGCTAATTTCGCAGTGTTTCTCAACTCGGGGAATTTGTTGGCAAGTTGGATGCAGCCAAAACACCACATACTCTACATTTCTTGTGACTGATTTTCAGCTAGTTTTCTTAGTAGTGTTTTTCTGCTCAGTGCATGTATAAAACTGGGCCCTGATTTATTTGATACACTGTGATCTTACTTGATTCGAGTCCAACCATAGCGTCCACCACAAAGATAAAGGCATCCACATTCCTGCACAGCTCCTTGATAGTTGAAGTTGGTTCGTAAGTGACGCAGTCGTCTCCCCTCCCTGCTTCTTCCCCACCACCCTGGGGACTAGACCCAGGGGCTGCCTGGAGGAGTCTGTTCCGCTGGGCTCTGGTTTCACCTGCTGTGGGGTTTTCCCGATCCAGCCTTTAGAAAAGAAAAAAAAACAGGTTAATTTTAAAATCTCACTTCAATAACAAAACACTGCCGTCGAGCCATCATCTATTTTCAGTCTGTTCAGCCAATTTCTTTGGGAACACAGCCACAAAACTGGTCGTTGCTCTTGCCAGTCTGGGAGAAGTGCTATAAAAAGCTTGTTTTGATTCGGTGTCTGTCCTGACAGCTTCTTTGGCGTAGATAGTTTGAAAGAGGACTTTTGTTTTTATTGCATGACACTGAACATACTTTCTGTCCCAGGGAATTCACTTCTCCAGGAAATGGCAGTTGAAAGTTTGAATCAAATTCATGGAGAAAAACCAGAACAAAAAAGGGTGCATCAAGCGGGTTTCCGTAGTTTTATGCATATGATTGGGGACACTGCCTAGCACTGAAAATCTTTAGCTTCTTCATTTTGCACACTTTTTTTGAGCACTAAAGGGGATTGTACATTTGCTGACTGTTCTCGAGAAATGGAGCTCATTAAGAAAGATCCTTGGAATAAAAATAACAAAACTTGACGATTCCTGTTTTCTCCCAAATGAGAGAATGGTGTCAGAGTACGCCTAACAAAAGTCCTTTGGTCATTTCCGGGTTCTGAGTAATTAATCTGTAAGATATGTCAACACACCAGATTCCACATCAGAGGAAGTGGTTTTGGATGTCTCCCTGTGGGTGCAATATCCTGTCTGACAGAACAACCGCCAAACCCCCCCCCATGAAGCAACCAACTCCGTTACATGGAGAATGGAGATGTGTCATTGTTCACCGCAGGGTCATCATATTTTGGGGGATGCAAATGTGGAAGTCTATGCTCCACTTAATTTCAGAGTTTCAATTTGATGCATGCATGCATGCATTGGTGGGGCACTTACTTGGTCCCTGAGTAAAGAGTAATCAGCCTCATGTCCAACTTGCCATTCACTGACACCTGGAAACCTGTACCAACACCTGTTTAGAAAATGAACAGTTATTAGAAAGCTGTTGCATATTCACACGTGGATTGACCCTTCTAAGATAAATCAATACCTTAAAAGTTGCTAAACAAACTTGGGTTTGGGCTTAATAGTTTTTGATTACAATTTGCTGAAGTATTTTTTCACTTAACCATATTCAATTTGAAATTGGTTCTCGACCCTTAGAATTTTTTTAAAGGAACATGGAGCTGTAGCCATCTCTAGTGAATGCATGTTGTTTGTCTGAAATATGTGTTTTGGTTGTGAAGTGAGTGAAACTGTTTGGAATGAGCTCTTTGCTCTTCTAAAAATGATAAAACTCTTGGAAAAATAAACACTCGTCTAGGAAAAAGAATCTAACTGGCTATGTGGAACAGTTGAGCCAAGACAAACAAATGAGTACACAAATAACAAGTGCAAGACAATGCACAACTACCTGGCAGAAGTGCTGGAAACACTCCCCGGACCTTGAAGACGTCGGACCCACTGCCAAGGAACTTTCTGACCAGTGTGGTGGAGTTGGATTCCAATCCCGGACCGAACATGACCACCTTGGGGGGTTTGTGGGGAATGAAAGACCACAGAAGTCGAGGCAGTTTGAGTAGGTTGAAACCTGATGACTCTCGCTGAAACTTGGGGCTGCATCTCATGTAACTGTCAAAACCAGCCATTCAAAACCCTCCAAGTTACAAAATATAGTCAATTGTAAATTTGGTGAGAAATTTCAAGATTTCATTTTAGAGACACCATTATGTAATTATATCTAATCTAAACAAGCTTAAACCTATTACATGAATCACTTTTAGTTCCTAAAGTTAGTCATCATTTTACAGGAATCAGGAAAAATTGATTCTCACGACATAGTTTTTAATTTTCTACAAAAATCAATACTAACGCTCATTTCAATAAATTCAACATCTGAAAAAGGAGTTGCAAATATGATATTTTTAGATAGCAAAAATACATTACAAATGTAAAATTATTAATTTGTGTTTGAGTATTAGATATTTCCAAATGGAATTCCATTTCTACACTGTTAGCAATCCTCACTTTACCTAACAGTTTTTATACACTTCATTATCTTCATTCCAATGTGGTGGACTCACATTTCTTTGTAAGTGAGATCTGAGTTCACCTCCTCGTACAGTGCCGGGTTGGACCGATGGTCCACCCGACGCCAACACAGCTTGTCTTTCTCCAAGGCATCCTTCCACAGTAGCTGGTCACTGCAGAGGCTGTGACACTGGCGGCAGGTACTACCAACGCTGGAGATGTCTTGGGCGCCCAGGAAGGAGAAGATGTGCAAGAGAACTTGGACCTGTCAAAAATGCAAAAATTGCATTACAGTGATGATTCTACTTGAAGAAATTAACATTTTTGCATGAAGATTGTCAGACACGTTTAGTCTAATCTGTCCACATTTTGAAGGTTGGGAGGGATGAAAATCTTTCAACTGAAATACCCAATATTTGGAAAACTGAATTATTTGGCAGTATACATTTACAAATCAAGCTCTGTTTGTCACATTTAAAAAATGTTTTCAATTTTTAAACTTCCCTAATGTAATTCACTATGAAGATGGCAAAATTCATGATCCCGGTCTGTGACATCACTCCCCCCCCAAAAAAAAGCTCTGTTCCACATTACTTAAAACTGACTCACGGGTAATTCCATTAGATTTAGCTCTTTTTCTTCGTGTGAATTACAGAAACACTCCCCGGCACCGCGATCCACTTCCTCTTGTCTTTCGCGTAAGATCGCCTCATCTCCGTGATACAAATTCGCCGATCTGTCCTCCCTGTCTCTGTGATCCGTGCGACCCACTGTCACTCCCGCCTCGACGTCAACACCGTCGCTCCGGCTCCCGTGATCTTGTCCTGCCGCCTCGCGGCTCATGTTCACCAGGTATCTCAGAGAGTTAAGCAAGGTGTTTTCCAAATGTTCCAACCCCAGGACGGAGACAGACGTCTCACTGGTCTCAGCAGCGGCTGCCCGTTTGGCCATAATCTGACGAACGTCGGCGACAGTCGTGGAATCGCCAAACATGATCAACCTATTTAATAAATTCTTCCGGTGATGAATAACTTTGATGGGTAATCCTCGAGTGCGCTTTCCGACACTTTTGAGTTGACAACCTCGGACGACAAAACGATTGTACAAAAATCAGGCCTATACTGAGCATTGGAACAACTTTTAAAAATTATCAGACTTTGATGATGATATTACTCAATACTGTCCTGCTCAGGAAATCATGAATATATTGAGTGCAGCTTGAAAAATACAGTCCGTCTTTTTATAGGACTCCCAGCTTCGTTATTTGCTGTGTTGTGACGCTATATCTTCATACGTGTTCACTTCCACGTGGATTGGATTGGGTTTTGTTTGCGTCTATTTTTAACATTATGCATATTCATTTCATGACGCGTAGTATCTAGTGGTTAAGAAGGTTAAACAACAGAGGGCGTTCTTCCTCTTTTTTGGAAAGCCGTGACCGAAATGGTGAGAGAGGGAGGAAGTCCTCTTAAAATCCATGGCATCGTACCTTTATGATAAAGTATTCTGGCGAAATACCCAGTATGAAATAGAAATAAATGTTTTGTTTTTGTGTTGGGGAGGATATTATTTTTCTGCCCATTTTTAATGTGATAAAAGAGGCAGGAAATAATGGCGCTGTGTATTACCATTATACACACCGGTGTACGTGTAGGCTTAATGGCTTTACCATAAATACATGTACGGTAGGTCTGCCGTCATTAAGATATTTTTGGTAGCAGGCTTTTTTTATAGAGCTAGGGCTTACCCGTAAATGGAATATGTATCAAAAACGAACACCTAATTTTGCACTAACAATTAAGTAAAGGTTCAATCATGATAGGTCCACTGTCCGTCGACATGTTCAGGCTCAGTTGACTTGGCTAACGTTTATTCCATTCACTTTTCAGTCAACTCACCATCGCACATTGGCATAAGCTTAAAGTGCACGAGGAATGATCATCCATGACTGTGATCATGCGATGTTTGTGGTCATGATAGTGGGGATTGTATACTTAGGGACCCCCAGTTTTTGTCATTTTAATCCTGCAAATCTGGTAAGTTGAAACGAAGGCAACACTCTCAGTTATTGAGCATGATGTCACAGTCATCTCCCAAGGTGAATTCAAAATTTAAAATATAGCTCTCCTATTATAGGAACAGGGTCCCCAAATTTACAATCTCCATGATAATGCACCATATTTATGCTGTGAATAGCACTACTGGGGAACATTGCCGCCATGGCTGCCAGTACATTTCATTCCTAGCCTCTGACCTGCTGACACAGCACATTTCCATCCAGTGTCTAATCCTCCATGCAGCGATAACTTAGGTTGTATTTTACCATTAAATACTGAAACACAAGTGCGTTGCGCAGACTTCCTCTAGAAAACAACCAAGTAAACAAAATTTTTGGTTTCATGAATTGACACCTAGGTGTGCTCACATTGCAAACCCTGATGCACTGCAGAATAATTTTGGCCTGCCAAACTGATACTAAAGCAGATATCAGATAAACACTGTGGAGAAACATCTTCAGAGGGTGTTACACAAATTGTACTCGGCCCGTTGACTTGTGGGAATGAGAAAAATGGTATTTAGAAACCTTTCAAGAAAGTTTCTTTTGTTTGAAAACGAGCACTAATCGCTCATACATGTAGAAAAGACTACCAGAGTTGTGTGGTTCTGTAAATACGGACGATTCACAAAAGTGCGCCACCAAGAGCTTGCAACACGTTGGCTAATAATAACACGTGAAATTTGTCGACCCCTTCCAAATACGCATTGGGTCGACAAATTTCGCGCATTGTGATTGGCCAATGCGTGGCAAACTCTTGGTGGCGCACCATTGTGATACGGCCGTTTTGTGCAAAAGGAGCAGCTTCAGGTACCACTGAGTGTCGTTTCTAGGTGTCAGCTACAAGATGTAAATCATGCATGTCACAGTATCCACAGCGAGCAAGTATTTAAAAGCATATGGTTTTCAGTTTGAATTTTCTTAATTGTGGTCAATTTGACAGATTGTTGGGTGAGGACCAAATCGTGTCAGTCGCATTTCACAAGTGATTTTTTTTTCAGTTACCTAAACTGACGTTGTTGCACCTTGTGTATGTCACTCTTTCAGACCAAGGGTACATCCAGTTTTGGTAAACGGCACAACAAGACCCACACATTCTGCCGGCGATGTGGGCGCCGTAGCTACCACATTCAGAAGAAGCGGTGTGCAAGCTGTGGCTATCCTGCCAAAAAGATCCGCAGTTGTAAGTCTCCTTTGTAAAATCTGTACAGAGCTTTGTCGGGGCCCTTTTTTGCTTTGTTAGAATTACAAATTTATGAATAACTATAAACGCCTAGCAAAACAAAAGTACAGAATGTCATTCATGTTCCGGCATTCCATCAAGTGTAGGAATGCTTAATTCTGGGAAGTATTTTCTTTCGTGCTGGACTTTTCAAGTTCTGATTGAAGGAACCAAATGTGCCACCCAGTATGTCTAATTTGTTCCCCGGACATATTTTGGAATTGGGGCATAAGATTCTCCTTCTTTTATTGGTGGAAACTGTTAAGCCTTGCTTTTAATTAGAAAGACTCTGTGTTTATAAATTCTTTAATTGCAAATTCCCTGCAACTTTGAGCTAGAAAGCTGCTTTAATCCCCTGGAAATTGTAGAAAATTTCACATCAAGTTTAAAGTATTTAAAGAAAATAGTGAGAGCAAGACAATAGTACGCTGTTTTACATCCCCCATCCTATCAAAATACTGCAAGAGAAGATTGTCAGAAGATTGTCAAGTTTTTTAAGCACATGTCTTTATTCTTCAGAACAGGTCTGCATATTAGAAAAGTGTGTTTCATGACTTAACGTTTTTGTACCTGCCACACTAGATAATTGGAGCATGAAGGCAAAGAGAAGAAAGACCACTGGCACCGGCCGCATGCGCTACTTGAAGATTGTTCACAGGAGGTTCAAGTAAGTTGTGTCCACTCCACACAGACAACCTGTCTGCAGAGTCCTTGCCAAGTCCTCGGCATCTCTGCTCGGGCTCGATTTGTGCAAAAATAGGCAAACTGAATGATGTCAGGTTTATGCCGGCCAAGGGCGCTGCATAGAACAGTTCTAAACATGCTCACTGTGTTGTAGTCGGGCGAACACGAATATAAATTGAGGATTGGAGATTGAATTATTCTGCATCCATCCTATCTGCATCCAGGCAGATGTGGAAAATGTTTGATAATTCTAGCGGTATTTTGAGTTATTTTACAAAGCAATGACGGATTCATCTGAAAGTCAGGGCGAGGCTAACCTGCCTTTCTTTCAGTGGATTGATTTCTTTGTTTTGAATTGAGTCGATGATGACAGATCGTGCACCACTCTTAATTTGTAGTGATGACTGCATGACCATACCCACACACCGGTCTAGCTGAGACTCGCTTCCGTATTCAATTTGACCCCTGATCACAAAGTATTTTCTAGTAAATACAAATATCCTGACCAGAAATCCCCAGTCCAGTTCACAGTATAGCTGTTGAACCCTGTATTTCAGTGACCATTAAACATTCTTTGATGAATCTTCCGATATTTGGAATCTCTTTGTTCCGTCCTTCCAGGAATGGTTTCCGTGAGGGGACCAAGCCTAAACCCAAGCAGCGTGGGGGTGCCGCAGCAAAGTCTTAGACCGGTAACCAGGACTCCATCATCGTAACAACAAACGCATCTGATCAGCGGCGCTCCGTCAGGAGCAGCCAGTCCTTGAACTTACTGGTCCATCATTACTCACAACCCAGCTTGATGGCTCTCGTGCTCTCAAGGGTTAATCCAAGAATGAAATCTTTATGACTTCAACATTTGTAAAGTTCTGTTTGTTGCCGTCATCTGCATTGAATTGGGTCAAATCCAATTATTACGGCAGGAGATAGCTAATAAATCGGTTGGTGATGTAAAAATACTCAGCTGGTCGTCCCATTCTGGTCAATTGTCACTTGTCATGTTATCGAGTCCTATATGTGTAAAATCTAATTACATGTACCTCTGAGCAACTTAACGTTATTTGTGAAGGCTGATGAAACTGCCAAGGTTTCTTTAGCAAATCCCCCCCCCCAGCGTACTCATGGACACGACAAATGCTCACTATAGTGGAGCTGGTGGTTGACCAATTAAAATCTGCATGTCAAATAAGATAGGGGCAGCCTGTCGATTTTCATGACCTTGAAACTCCATTGCAGTGAAAATGCACTGCTTAGTTGGCATACAGAGGTTCTTCATGTGGCAATTTTTTTGCATACATTTTCAAATCTGTGTTTTTTAATGAGCAATTTCATTTACGTCAGAATATTGAGAGACTGAAAGTGTGCACGTTTCCACGCACTTGTAAACTGAACGCTGACCGTCAAAATCATGTGACTGAAAATCCTCTGTACAGCCTTTGCAGCGTTGAGGCTTGAATCTGCCCAAAGGGGCACAGTAAGCCATCTGTCGTGCTGAAGGTTGTGAGAAAAAAACACTTAAATATTTTTACCTGGGTTATAAGGAAAAGAAAAGGTGCATTTCAGCATTGCCAGAAAAAAAAACTGGATATCATTTCCCCGCTGGGTTTTTAGAGGTTCTTTTTGGACCAAGTGGTGATGAGCATTGAAGTGATTGGACGATGAAGCGCTTGCATGAAACAACTGCATACAGTGGAAATGTGAACCACTAGGGTCTTTGCATGGGCGATGGTGCGCGCAGCAGCACGAGCAGTCACGAGCAGTCACGTGCTGTCCTATTAATGGTAAAAGCACATGGCATTTGTAGCTGGTGAAATGATTCCCATCACCAGTCTATGCAGTGATCTTTGCACAGAGGCATGTGTGACTGTGGGATGATTACACACGGTCTAGCAATTCACGGAGGGATCAAACGTCCCGCGCATACGGAACACTTCTGGTTCTAAAGGCTTGAATAGAGCCGATAGTTTATGTAGTGCCATATGAATAGGTCTTGACACTTGTCGCAATGAATTTCTAATAGGACAATTTAATTTTTAAAAAATGTACCCTTCAAGAGAAACAACTTTATAAATACTGCATTATTCAAGAAGTAATATATAGTTCTTTGATACAAATTTTAATCAAAGGAAAGCACTTCATATGATCTTTTGGTTCCTGAAATTACATTGTAATAACAGTGCCAAATTCACAGCTGTAAATTAGAAGCATCTTGTACAAATGAACATTGCATGGCAAATTTACTGTAAAAATTGAAATTCACTGAGAAACTTGCAGTAAGCCAGCAGCAAACATCTCTCACGGTCGGAATGAAATACCCCCCTGTTCCTGATTGGTTACACTTGTAGCAAGCAACAGGAGAGGCCTCTTGCAGAACTAAGCCACATTCAAATGACATGGCTACGGCTGGAAAAAGCACATGCATCTATGGAGAATGCTGGAAGCCACTAGTTGGCAGCTTCCACAGGAAAAAGTGTTACCTCTATCCATAGTCAAGTAATTAGGAAGCCCTAGAATCTGGAGAGCTGCAGACACACTAGAGGGAGGCATTCAACAAGGTAGCCCCACACTCCGTTGGAACCAACGGATATGTGCCTCTCTTTCCCTGTCTGCTGTATGCTCCAGGATCGTCGTACCAAGAGACCTGACGTTTCACAGATAAGCTCCTCGCAGCCCTTCATGTTTCCGAAGACGGGAGTTGATCTGAACTTGGGAGTGGTATACCCACGACTTGTGCATCCTCAGAACTAGATTGCGCTTGCTGTCTCTGGGCATCAGTACAGTAATCCTGCTCAGAAAATCAGCAAAAACAGGTGCAAAATAAAGATCGACATTATATACACGTGTATTTTTAAAAATAAAACACTTTGCCCCCCCCCCGTTTTATTTCTCAGTTCCTTACCGTCATCGCATATGGCACAACACTATTAACAAGAAGCAGTGATGTGACCGATGAAGTCCAACTGAAATATTCTGAGAAAATAATTCAAGGCCAGGTCATTACACTTGGCAAATGAGGATCTCATGCAGTGTTCGTCCACACTGTATACTCCTTGTAGGTATGCATGCAGTTTTGGTCGGAAATTTTCGGAGTCGACAAAACTCATTTGAAGGGCAACAAAGATCAGGGTTTCTGTACCCAAGTGCTTCCGGGGAGGGGAGATCCTTGCTTTACACTGCTGATTGATTTTCAGAGACAAACTAGTGGTGTGTTGGGAGGGGGCATGTACAGTCTTCATAGCTGGTAAAACTAACCTGTAGAAACACATGGGCAAGGTTGCTCAATCTTGGACTTGTAGACTGGGAGAACCTGCACATGCATTGAACAACAGAGGGCGCTGTGATCTCTGACAAAAAAAAAATTCAAAATAGCAGTGTATGATTAATTCAATCAAAAACACATGGCCAAATAGGTGCAAGGTATATTCAGTGGAGGGCGCGAAATTTTCCAGACAGGAAATTTAGTCTAGATCAACTTTATTGGTGGCATCAAGACAATGAAATGCTATATTGAAACACAGAGAATTTACTTCCTCATGGAAGCAAAATTACATTTGATACTGAACCGGACACTGCCTGAAATCGATACATGATATTTCATGGTTGTACCTGTTTTTGACTGGGGTGTCATGAGAAACATGAGGGTAGTTATTGCTGACAAGACGATTTCCTCCTCGGGTCTATAAAAGTAGGTGATAAAATCCAATCTTATACAACAGAATAGGACTTGAAAATGTGCTTCACAAAAGAGACAGACAATGAATCTTAAATGCAAAAAGGACAGAAACATTCCTACTGCCAGACCCGAATGACCAGAGCATTACTGTTCCAAACTTCTGGTATTCTTTGGTTGCCGTTCTTCACAATGCAAGTCATTCCCGAAGTTCCAAGCACCTTGACACGGAGGTGTACTCTGAGGGTGGGGGCGGACTGTAGGGGACAGGAATGTGGGGCACAGGGGCCGAGGGTCATCTTTTGTTCAGATGTTTACCTGGACAATACATCAACGATGAGTTTCACTCCACCGGAGCTGAGGATGTAGTCCTTGTTGCTTCGATCTACCCATCAAAGAATCAAGTAAATGCTACCGAATTATCTTAGGAACACATCCATCTGAGCAATCAAGATGCAATGCTCAGGAGTAAATGAGTACACGTGAGTGGTGAATGATCATCATGTATACTCACAGAATAAGCCCAAGAGATTAGACTTCAAGCTTTTCAAAGGTAATCAGAAACAAGCTTTCAACTTGTCTCATTTCGTAGAATTTGAGGACGTCCACAGATATGGAGACAGGAAAACCCATTTCAATTAGGTGGAGAAGGTTCTCTGAGAAGTTAAACCCCGTCAACTGTCTAATCTCAACCCACCCAGCCTCCCCTCACAAAAAAGTCCTGTTTTAGAGATTTTAAAACGAAAAAGTATAATTTATTGATGATCAACCAAACTTTCCTGAAGTTGTCAGAAACTTCTCAAAATCAAAACGTCTGGAAATCTGATCAACCGATGTAATCTTTTTGCAGTTTTCAACCCCTGGCTCCAACTTACCAAGAGCAAGATTAGAGAGACCGCCCATACCAAACTCTACCAGTTTTTCACTTGGCTCAGTTAACATATCTGAAAGAGAAGTGTCAAAAGAGAAATTATCAGACCAAAATATAAAGGCAAAGAGTTTGGAAATTTGGGGGAGGGTGTATCACGTATTTTCCATGAAAATGCATACCTCACACGGATACCTATAAAAAGGGTTAAAAAAATGTCAATGTCAAAGATGTGAGGCAAAATGAGGGTGAAACTTTATGGTGGTTGTTTTTTAAATGATGGCGATTACGTTGTTGGCAGTGACAATGATTGATGACAGTAAAAACCAAACTTTGACAATGAAATGCTTACCTAAAAATAAATCAATCACATTCAGTTCTCGGAGATAACTGTAATTGATGGGATCATATGCAAAATTTGCCAAATTGGCGAGAACTTGCTCTTTAGCCTCTGCCAAAATAAACAAAAAATTAGTCACTGAAAAGTTATACATTTTTGTTAAAGGTCCCTGTTCAAAATTTAATTTTTCTAGAACACTTTTTCTGAAAACGTAGAAAGGCCAACTCCAAACTTCGAAGAGAAAATCCAAAATGCAGTAGTGACACAACTATGTCAAGTTGGCTATTTGCAGTCAACGAAGTCAATCGTTTCTGTTCTTCATTTAACTTGCAATAACTGTCAGAGATTATTACATGGTTGTAGATATAACCCTACAAAGCGCACAAAAGATAAAACAAAATACGTGTTGAAGTACAGTGGAGAAACCTGCAAGACTTACAGCCGATCAGTATCTTGGAGTCAACAGTCACAAAATCACAAAGAAAGTTACAGTTAAGGAACTACAGGCAATACAATTCAAAAATAAAGGCACGACAATGTTTCCAAGATTTTAAAAGATGGTAAGATTTTGTAGGTTTTAATCTTCTCATGCATGTCTTGTGCATTTTGCTGAATTCTGTGTTCGACAAAACACCAGTCCAGCATTATAAAACGAAGGTATCAGAATAGGTGACTTTTTTTGAAAGCAGTGGTCCTGTCTCTGAACTGTTTCTCTCTTACCATTCAGAGTGACACTTTGCATGCCCTCAAAAACAAGATAAGCTTCACCATTGATACGCATACCACGTCCTTGCTCATATCAACACCAGCAGACCCCCACAATTAGGGGCCAAAAGACATATACTTCACTACCTCCAATTCATTCTGGGCCCTACTATCAGCGTGCAAAATAGAGTGAGGGAACTTGAACCATGGGGCTCATCTCTCTGCCTCTCTTGATGAAGAAACAAATTCGAAATGAAGACACTTTTTCCAGTTTCATAACATTTATAATGTTCACAACAGCAAAGGGGGCTCTAACTGATGTGCTAGGCATTTTGGCTACCTCTCCTAAAATGTGGAGAAAAGTTTCCATTTTGAAATTTTTATCTTCAAATTTCCAAGAAGAGAAAGGCACCCAAATGCCTACATGTAGCACTGCAGTGTTAGGAATGTAACGGTCTTTTTAAACTGCTAGAAATGTCTTTTCATGTGGATTTTGAAAATCGTTTTTCCAGATGTCCTACACGCTGATCATCATGCTGATGATGGGCCAAGCAGGAAGGTTTGACCAGCATGGAGGTAGGAAAAGATGGTTTGACTCAATTTTTTGTGGGGGAAAAAGCAAGCCATAGGCCTATTTGGCCTCGGTCTGGTGTACCATCGTCACTTGAGGTTTGGAATTCGGTCACAAGCTGTTGCAGAAATTCCAATCTTCCAACCCCATCAGCTGGCGTTCGGGCTTCTAAACGCTTCCTGGAAGAAAACATTTTTTTCACAATGCCTAAGTGTGTCACTTCTTAGAACCAGTAGTGCACACTTGACTCGGGTATTAAATTGACCCACACACACGTAGTGCACGTACCCATTGAGCATACAATAAAATTAACAGCGCGACGCGTGTATACAAGTAGATTTTTCAAATCACGGCTTCGTTTCACCGCGGCGGTGCCGAATGAGTTTTCTCTCGTGACTTCTGGGTTTTATAAACATAACGCAAACCCTTGTCTTGATAGAATAGCATAAATAAAATTTCAAAACTCACAAATAGATATATTTTCAATTTATTTTTAGTATCATAAGCCTATAAGTAGTTGCAATTTATAACGAAGCCGCAATTTGAAAACAGCGTGGTACATGTGCATGTGCGCGCCCAAGCCTCGTGCGATAAGAAAGTTGTAAACAGAACGTGTGGGGGCGTTTTCGTCTTACAGCCTCGGACAAATTAGCGTATATTTCTCCCAAATAATTAATGAATTTACAGTAATATAGGATTAGATAAATTTATTAGAAGGAATTATTTATTTTCTTTGAATTTTATGAATACATATCTGTTTTATGATTTAAAAAGATAATTGTGCCACACTGGACGCCTGCAATCACCTTGACCCATTTGTTAAGGTCAACATAATTTCCCAGGCAAAGCGAAGTCAACATCGCAGATTTTCCAGCCATGTCGTCCACTGCGCAAGTAAAAATAGGCCATTACATCTTAGGAGAAACCCTTGGTATGGGCACATTCGGCAAAGTGAAAAGTAAGCTTTATCTTAGTGTGTCATGTGGTGATTTTTATATTTGGAAATTGGGTGAATTTCAGGTGCTTGAGTGAACATACGACCGTGGGTTTGGCTTGACCTCTGTGCAGAAACATGACCTTTTTATTCGCTATGGTGTACATGTACATGTATACAGCATACATGTACACTGCATAATGCACTACATGTATGTACATGTACATATTAAATGCAGGTGTCATTACCAATTTGTGTTAGTGCACGTAACTGGAAAATTTCTCTCACCACAAAATGCTAAAGAATCACTTTTAATTGTAATAAATTCACCTTTTTAGTTACTCATTAAGTGAAGTTTCATGGGGGCCTATCACCATCTTGGTTTTCGTGTCAGATTTGTTTCAGTGTTTGTGAACTGAATTAATTTTGAATTATCAGGGACAGGTTGCCAGTACCTAAAATTTAGTTATTTTTCTTAATTGTACCAAGCTCTAGGCCTTGCCCCATTTGCCAAAGTTCCAAAATTAGAAAATAACTTTTATATTAAAATTGTTTTTTGATGAATCCAATCTCTTTATAAAAAGGTTGCACTTCTATTGAAGTTCTAAACAACAGTTTCGATATTTTTTATGTTATTTTGGGGGGTTTTCATTTTATTTTATTCTTATTTTATTTTGTTTTGTTTAAACAAAATGTGATTGTTTTAAATCAATCATGAATGTATTTTAAACCTTGTCGATGTACATTTCAGTCATTGGTGGCATCCAAACACTGAATCCCCGATTTCATGTTTGTATACAAATTCGAGTAAAAAGCCTCCTGTTTATAAAGAGCATGACTGACGTGGTTGAAAAATCCATAAGGAATTGGAGAGCCGGCACTGTGGAATGGATGTAACTTATTTGTAATTGTGTTTCCAAATGGCTAGATAAAGGTGGAAAAAGTATTTCCATTTCCAAGGTGATGGATACATTTGTGATTCACTAATGACTGTATCCAGTTTCATTTGCATTGAACCAAAACTGTTTGTCGGTTTGTTGGGATA